GCAATGTCAAGCTCGTCCTGCGGTTTTTAGCCTGCTTGCAAGGCTATTTGAAGACGAAGGCATTTTTCCGTTGCTGGAGGAGCTGTTTTCGCGCGCAGTCGATTTACAAACGGGTTCCTCGGAGGATGTAGGTAGTTTCTTTTTTTCTACCGGTTACGTTTATTTGGCTTCGTTGTCTCCATTCTTATGACCTTGATTGGAGCATTCGTGCTGATTTCTCTGTTTATAGTCCCTGGGCTTGGAACTTGTGAAGATCATCCTTTTCACAATCCCGTATATTATGTCGTCGTCTGCTTCTGGCTTCGAGGCGCATGCTTCGGCCCTCCTTGAGAAAACAGACATTATCGCCTCAACGCCACATACTTTGGAGGCGCTGGTCGACCCCTTCCCTTCAGATGAGGTCAAGGAGGAAAATCGAATGAGCGTCATTGGCCTTCTACAAAAACAGCTACAAGAAGAGGCAAAGCGAGGCTGGGAGCTTTCATGTATTCCACGTCCCTGGACTGGGCTAATCCCAACGACCAAACCAGAGGCGGCACGCGAAGGTGAAAAAAATGGAGACGAAACAATAGAAGAGAAACCAGAAGCGGAAACAAAACAGGAAGCTGAAGATCCCTTCAAGATTGCAACCAGGCACGGATTCCCGTTAATTGCCGTGCCAAACCCAGTACCCAACGGACCTAAATCTATATTCCCAGACGTCTATTTCTCCGTCTACATTAACCAGGAACTGGAAACTGTCCCGCCCACCACAGACATCGCCGCATCTCTACTCCGCGACAATCTCACCGACACAATCGACATACTCGACTTCAACCGCATCGCCACCGCGAAATTCCTCATTGACGTCGATTGCTATTTCGCACCCAATACTTTCATCAAGCGCGCCACCCCTTTCGATAAGATCCGCGACGCTGTCGCAGCGGGTGCCGGTGATCGCTCGACCTGGAAACCCGAGGATGTCGCTGTTGACGCGGTGTTTTCGTTGCTCCTCCAGCTCCCCACGCCGGAGCATAAGCTGGTCTACTACCACTCTGTGCTCACGGAGGCGTGCAAGATTGCGCCTGCGGCTATTGCGCCGAGTTTGGGAAGGTCGATTCGTTTTTTGTATAAGAATATGGAGAGAATGGATCTCGCGCTCTCCTATCGGTTTTTGGATTGGTTTGCGCATCATTTAAGTAATTTTGGGTTTACATGGAAGTGGACAGAATGGTAAAAGCAAAATTTTTTTTTCTTACCCTGTTTTTCCCTACAAATATTCACTCCACTTACTAATATTTTTTATAGGGTTGACGATGTTGAACTGCCAGCCGTTCACCCTAAGAAAGCGTTCATCTGCGCTGCACTGGATAAAGAAATTCGTTTAAGCTTTGCGCAGCGCATCAAAGGAACATTGCCGGAACCATACCAGGCCTTAATATCTGAAGCGAAAGAGAAAGATACCCCGGATTTCAAATACGCGCTTGAATGTAGGTTTTCTACCTTATGGAACAAGCGCCTTCCCCCCCAAAATATATATTAGACATTTCTGACAATGCCACAGCAACTCCCTATGCTGCCGAGGCACAAGAAATCATGCAACTCATCCGCAAAAAAGCCCCGGATGCCGAAATCGAACCGCACATCCTCGCCATCCAACACGCCGCCGCCAACCAAACAGACACGGCGGACCCCCTAATCCCTTCCACAGATGCCTTCGTCACCTCAATCTGCTACGTCGGCTCCAAATCCCTCTCCCATGTCCTCTCCTGCATCGAGCGCAGCAAAGAGCGTCTCCTCTCCATCGGGCCCCAATCACCCGCCGCACGACGCCAAATCATCACCTCAGTCCTCTCCTACTGGGCTGACCAACCAGGCATCGGCGTGAACATCATCGATAAACTGCTCAACTATACCATTCTGACGCCGCTGTCAGTCATCGAGTGGGCGCTTGTCGATCACATTGAGGGCGGCGCGGCGTTGGCGAAGGCGCATGTGTATGAGATGGTTGCCGCGACGATGGGGAAGGTGACTAACCGGATTCGCCAGATTGTGGTGGCGAGGGTGCAGCGGGGTATTGTGGAGCCGCAGCTGTCTGTTATTGACGAGACACTGCGGAGAGAGAGGGGCGAAGTGCAGGTTATGTTTGAGGTTATTGAGGGGGCGCTTGAGGGAGTAATTAGCGGGAGTGGGATGGAGGATGTTGATGGGGGGTGGGTAGGGGAGGGGGAGAAGGTGATTATCAGAGAATGGGCGCGGAGGTGGTTGAGAGTTTTTAAGAGGCTGAGAGCTGTCGAGGAGATGTTTGTTTCAGAGGCGATGGCCCGGGCTGTTCCTGTTGGGACAATGCCGTTGGTGCAGCAGCATGCACAAGTCGAGGTCGGGGCGGAGCCGGCGGCAGAAGTTGCCATGGATAATGTTGACATGATTGATATATGAGCGGGTGAGTGTTTTATTAATTTCTCTTTTGACTAAGGAGAGGATGGGGGATGTAAGAAACATTTACTTTCAATTTTCGTTCTGGTTTGTATCATTTTCTTCCTAAAGTTTGTATGGTATTTAGTATAATTGAATCTGTTAGGTTCTGTATAACCATAACTACTTTACTAACCGCAGTAAAAATAAACATCTTTTGTTGATTTTGATGCTTTTTTTCGTTTTGGCATACATACTTGGCCCCTTTGCACATGACTTTCCTCCCTTATTGGTCATTCGATTTTAAATTCATGTCCAACCTGGCATGCATGCATGCTGTTTCAGATAAGGACAGAAAAAGGAGAAAAAATATCAGAACAAATCCAAATTTTCGTCTTCTTGAGTTTTGACTCCAAAACGACGTCCATACAGGTCATCCATCTCGCTGGGACTGAAACTTGGATCCTTTGCAGTGAACTCGGGGAGCTCTGTGAAGGACAGGCAGGCAGGCAGGTAAGCGGACGGGTAGTTGTATGAGGTGGGTGTTCAGTCCACAGCCAATTCATCCACTACTGTATCATTATGGTGATGTCTTCCACGCAATCAACAGAGGGTCATGCTGCCTGCGCCAATTGGCAATGGAGTGAGTGGTAAGGGCCTGCACTGTTCTCTCAATCGGAATCAGCCTTATAACTAAGACCGGTGAAGGATCGAAATCATCACCAATTGTCAGCAGCCATGATGTGATAAAATCCTTCCAAGGATTGGGTCGCTTTAAAGGTTATTTATTGTGCATGTGGAGAAACAAGACTCTGTGGATGACCCTTTCTCGTGGTGGCAGTTCTAATTGCTGGTCTGCCAGTTGCCCCGAATCTGGATCATGGCAACATCCCTGGTAGGTAGAAGATTGGCAAGCGACAAATGCGTGCACTCAAGATCTGGGTGTCTTCCAGCATGATGGCAAATGGCTATTACCTCTGGTGCCAATGGGTGATTTCTGCCAGAGGAAATTAACCAATCCCTTGAAAAAGTGGAAAAATTGCCATTGTTGGGATTCTTAGGATAGGAGATTTTCATGATGATAGTAAGAACGTTCATTGGCTACAGACAATAACAACAACATTCATTTCATTCAACTATCTAGCTAACTATTATGCGCAGACTCTCTTCAATCCTCGCCCTCTTCTCCTGCTCCAGAATCTCTTCAAAATCGTACCCAAGATTTCAGAGTTGTTCACAACTTCGCGACAGACCTCCTTGCAAAAGTTGCTATCATTCACAGCAGGTAGGAGCATCTTAGAAGCTCTCAGTTACTTAAGTGAGTACTTCAGTGTTTCCAATCTTGCGACTGCAAGGCTGGTATGAGAGCCGGGTGGCTCTATCGCAGCTCTTCAACACTTCTCCGTGCAGGCAGAGAGGATGCGCGCGGTTCCAGGGTCAAGGGTGGACATGTCCAGGAGGATGAATCCAAGGACATCTTTTTGTGTAATCATGAGGCTTACCTGTACGGATAGAGAACCAATCAGGCAACATATTGCTCTCCGGCACTGAGACTAATGATATTACCATTAAAGTCAGGGACTTGGGACTCGGTGAGTTAGCTGTGAATTCCCAGAAACATACCTATGCTGCTGACATGCTTGCAGTATTTCATGGCAGCTCTCATTTTGCAGCACAGCCATACACAATGTGTGTCTCTGAAGTCTGGCAAGGCGGGCTCTGCACCCAAGTGTCACAAGTCTGGGCACTCTCTGCAATGTTACTTTGCTAGATGAAGCCAGGGATTCTAGGTGCTTGGGGTTGTCCAATACCCTTGATTCATGAGTCATAGTGCATCGCGAAACTCATGCGGCTTTTCCCCAGTTGGACTGCTCTCCTCTTGAGAATGATATCTGCCAATGTGAATTCAACATGGTAAAAGCTCTGATTGATGATTCTTCATCAGCTGTTGAAGCATATCTCTGTTCTGGAGAATGAGTTGCAAAAGGTGGATATACTGAAGGAGTTGGCGGATCTGCTTCATCTCATGTTGATTGTCAACCCAGGCGAACGAGCATCTGCTATTCATGTCCTGGCATTGAAAGAGTTTGTAGCTTTCTCCAAAGCCATTCGCAGGTACGAAGTAAATGGCAGACTCTTTCCCGAACGTGGAAACTAAGTGGAACAAACATTGTGTTTTACTGTCGTCTCTCACATCGGCCTCTCTTCCCCCTTATCTTTGACCTCGATGAAACTTAGCTTCCAAGCATTGCTTCAAGCTTTCAAGTCCCACTGGCGAGGCTCCGCTCCTCCTGGAGTACAAATAGGGCACCTGATCCCTATTTGCGGTGGCATTCTCCTTTTCAAATAACTGTTATGATCAAGAGTTACTCATCTATCTTTTGATTAGATGATCAGCACTTTGGGAGTTAATTGCTGTTAACTGGACACAAGCTGCTGAGAAAGTCATGGGATCCTTTTGCTACATTTGGCTTCAGATCATATAGTTCTAGATTCTGGCGAAACCAAGTTTAGTAGACCTCTGTGAGGCTTCGAAAATATGAATAGTAACTTGAATGCTCTCTTGCCAACGAACGATCATGTGAAGGGCATAGCAAAAATGGAGTGACGTCAGCGGAGGACCCAACGCAAAAACCTATCCTTGCTCTTCTACTATGCGTAACCTCAATCCCGGGATATGCTCCAGCTCGAGCACTATTCGATGTTGCAGCGTAATCTAAGCTGGTTAGCGGACGCCATTCAAGACCGGGTAATCTACCTGTATTGACAAGTTTTCTCTCAGCCAGGCTGGTGCAGCTTCTCAACACTGTCTTTATTATAGCCTCGGATTGTGGCATAGGTACGCATGCAAGGCCTGTATTGCACATCCTCCAGAGTGGTCTCGAGCCATTCGGAAGCAATATACGATATGCTTCCACCATCACCACTGCCGATATTCACAGGATCACCAATCACGTCGTACATCTTCCGGAAGCACACGTCCGATGCGATGCTGGGAACAAAGTAGTTCTCATATTCATGCTTCAGGTTCTCTTCAGCATGTTGATCATTTGGCGCAGCTGTTTGATGAAAGCCCTGGTTGGAAGGGTTAACTTTGTTGTTCACAAAAGCTTGGAAACAACATAGCGAGCCATTGAGGAGTATCTAAGATCCCATTTTCTGGTAAGATCTCAACTTCGGAAGCCGAGGATTTGTGTGTGCCATCTCCCTGAAGAGGATCAATGACACGATAGTTCCATTTGGCTCCCTTATGATAAGGACCTGTCTGGAGGCGGAAGACTACATGTTTCTAATAAAGAGAAAGCGAACGGCCCTACTCCTGCCACAAGAGCCAACCAAACGACGAAGGAAGATGATATATGTGCTTCAAAGACGAATGAGAGATGGCAAGATATGGATGTAAGGATCAAGGCACTGATTCATTTGACCTCACTAACATCATTAGTTTCTCACGTCAGTTCGTTGGATGACCTTCCATACAGAAAAATCGGTGGTTTTCAGAACGATAGAAGAGTATGTAGAACTTTTGGAGGATGGCTTCCTCGATAATATATGGCTTCAAGTTACCTTGCTGGGATGGTTGATCGTGGAATGGTTGAATCTTGTACGGAGATGTGGGGAAAAAATTCGTCGCACAGGCTAGTCGTTTAGAAGAATATCTACCTAGTTAATAGGCTCTACTGAGGAGTGTTGCTAATAAGCATTAGTTACAAGAAGGTGTTGAGCATGAGTTGGGTTGAATTCATAAGGATTGCGATTCTAACCATGATGAGAGCAAGTTTGATCCCACGTCCGACTTGGTGCCATGCCGACCTGCCCTGCAGACCCATGGTCTTTCACGTTTCAATTTACACGGGTTATCAATGATCCAGGAATGATTTTTTGAAAATTAGAAATATATACAGCCTATTATACATATATCTCACTTCTACTTTTTCTATTAAAAAAACAATTCCTTGTGTGTTGAGATATGATGATCCAAAGACAGCTTGGGCGCTTAGTAAGATATCAATCAATCGTCCAGCAGAAATCTCTGTGATGGAGGCCACCGGGGTGCCAAAAGACGAACCAATCAACAACCCTTTTTGTTAGTGGCACACTAACATTATAGTGCCCTACTAACCAAAATACTGGGTTATACCCGTGTAAACCAACACCAACCCTTGACCAATACTCGTCGCCACGAACTCTCTCACTAGATTGTTCTTGGGTTAACCTTAGGAGATTAGGTTAAGTTCAGTTTAGACCGCTAGTCAGAGGGATGGAGCCTGAGAACCTTGCGTAGAAGCGGAAAAACCCACCAAATGATGACTAATGGTCGTGTGGATGTTGTTTTTTTTCGAACCAGCCGAACCCGTGAAACCTGCAGTGGTTCTGTAATTGGCACGGATTACGCGCTTAGATAGTTGCATATAATCAATCACTCAATCATTCTCTCTAAATTTTAGTATGCTTCGTTACTCAGTTAATCGCTCAATTGACTATTTTGTGGTTACTTTGCAATGAAATGGCGCACAGTGTATCAGCCATGACAGTTATTGACTATTGTATCTTGAGAATCGTTATTATATAGTAATTTTTACACTCTACATAACAACAGAACTTCGTCTGTATCCTGCTGCTCCAGGAGAAATCACCTCTCGATGGATCGCCCGCACGTTCCCCCGCCGCCAAGCTGGGCCGCCTCCTTGTTAGTCTCCAAGGGTTGCTGGTCGCGATTCCTAGTTGGGCGATGGCGTTGTTTCGTCTCCCCTTTTCCTTTTTTCCCTTATTCCTGTTTTCAAAGTGGACATGGAAAATGTCCTTGGCAATGATCCCACACAGCGGAATGCATCTTTGAAAATGGGATATTTAACGATAGATGCAACAGCTCCTAATCATACTCTGTATTTTTTTTTCCAATGGCAGACCTCGGTTTGAAGCAGCCTGGATACGGGACGGTACTGGATTTGTGAAAGATTGATAAGATGACCACGAAAGCCCGCACATGATTGGCCAACCTTTCCTAAATTTGATCTGACCGTCCCCTTTCGGTAATCCAAACTCCCGACTCGCATGACTCTGGGTTTTCCTTCTGGGTTAAAAAAAAACATCACGCACCCTCACACCCTCCGTTCGCTCTTTTCCATCTTTCAGTCATCCATCATTGCTGATGTATTATCCTTGAGTTGCGGAGAATCAGTTTTTCTCCAACTAACCACATAGCTTCGTCTATGCTAGTGGACGCTTACTGGGCTTGTCCATAAAAAGTCTCCCTGCCCGTTCCTTTTGCAACATCCCGTCTTCAACCCGCAGAGTTTCCCCATTGATTAGCCTCGCAGAGGCCTGCATCTTGTTACTACCAACCGAGATTCAACGTGATTCCGGATTCTAATACCCCGGCCATGGATGTCATTCTCGAGGTCTTCGACACTCTAATTTTCGATTACTTCTACGCCAAATTGTCTCCGGCAAAAGATGCTTCCGCCATCTCCTCCAGCTTCAACAATAGCCTCAATGTAACCAAATATGACTTTGTTGGTGCTGGCGGATACGTATATCAACCGACAACAACTTATTTCAAGCTGCAACCGTCGATATACGCATTTACATCGTCACTTCCTAGAGATTATATCTGGAGACAGCTAATCACCCTATATATCATCACCTGGTATGACATGTGTCTTTTCTTTTGTTCTTTTCTATTTCTGTTATTTCTGTTGAGTGATTAATTGAAAACCCAGGATTTTCGGACTCCTCGTCTACTTCATCTTTGCCACCATCTCCTACGTCTTCGTCTTCGATAAGTCAACCTTCAATCATCCCAAATACCTCAAAAACCAAATCCGCATGGAAATTAAACAGACTTTAATCGCCCTCCCAATCATGGCCATCTTCACAGCTCCCGTCTTCCTCCTCGAGGTCCGCGGGTATGCAAAAATGTACGACAACTTCGAAGACGCTCCCTTTCCGCTCTACAACTACCTCCAATTCCCTTTATTCATAATCTTCACCGACTTCTTCATCTACTGGATCCACCGCGGCCTTCACCACCCCCTCGTCTATAAGCACCTGCATAAGGCCCACCACAAATGGATTATGCCAAGCCCTTACGCCTCCCATGCCTTCCACCCCGTCGACGGCTACGCTCAGGGTGTCCCCTACCACGTTTTCCCCTTCTTGTTCCCCCTGCAAAAATTTGCCTATGTCTTCTTTTTTATCTTCATCAACATCTGGACTGTCCTGATTCATGACGGCGAATACGTCGCGAACTCCCCCATCATCAACGGTGCCGCCTGCCATACTATGCACCACCTCTATTTCAACTTCAACTACGGCCAGTTCACGACTATCTGGGATCGTCTGGGTGGCAGCTATCGGAAACCGAATATTGAACTTTTCCACAAAGAGACAAAGATGGCAAAGGAGGAGTGGGAGCGACAGGTTAAGGAGATGGAATCGCGCGTTCAGGCGGTCGAAGGTAAAGATGACCGGACATATGTGACGGATGTGGATGCGGATGTGAAGAAGTCGAAGAAGATGCTATAAGATCCCGGAGGTATTAGGACATATGTACCAACACCTTTCATGAATGATACATGAAAAACTACAGGTTTTCTTTCTTTTTCTTTTTCTTTTTCTTATTCATTTCAATTTTTTGATTTTGCTGGTTATCATCTTCCTGTTGTTTGTTTTGCTGTTCGCTGACAAGCAATTTTAAAAAATTAATATTAACAATAATTCTGGGCTTGGGGAGGTGGAGAGATACCCTTTTTTTACTTTATCTTTTTAATTCACACTCTAACCCCCCTTTTTTTCTATTTTTATTTTTCATGTTTGTATCTGTTTTCTGTGCATCATTGGGAGGGTAATAAATCATACTCACGCACTACATATATATGCATGTACATCTTGTATATACTATCTCATTATCATTATATTATATCAAATTTGTATGTTGGAATAGTTAATTAAGCTGAAATTAGTAAAAGAAGGTTAAAACCAGATCTTGTTTAGTAAACGAAGTGATGAGTGAGTGAGATTTGACCTGGTTGTGAAGGTTTTTGATTCATACTTGAATCAAGATAAATTTATTGTTATTTGTGTTGAGAAAGGATTGGTTTATTAGACGAAGCGAAGCGAAGAATCAAATGACGGTTTGAGGGGGAAGAGGTTGCTGAAAAGTTGCTTCATTTGTAGCTTGAAATGATTGAATATCAATTGATGCGGTGGAGTCACTTCGAATCTCAACGATTTTATTGATGTAGAGGAGATTTCTGTATGTCAATGATCTTCAATATCTGTATTGTGAAGGCCAAATAAAGTTTATTCAATAACTAGTTCACAATTGGCTTAGAGATCCTCTAATCTATCTACCAACCCATCTACATTATATATCTACAAACCTACCTATCTGCTCAATATCTAATTGATTACTGGTGGAATAGAGAATGCTAGCTAGCTAGATATCCGATTAATCTCGACAAGATTAAATACCACCATCTAACTGCCCATCTACATACCAACCTACCTATCTACTTGCTCGATATTTGATAAATCTCTATGAGAATAAATATTGCTAGCTATCTAGCTGCCTACCTACCTGCCTGCCTGCCTGCTCGAATGGATGATATCCGCCGATGATATCTAGCAATCATATTCATTGATGATGTCTGTGATCTTGCAATAGAAAGACCATGGCTTTTCTAGCAGTATATCGCTCCGCTCCGTCCTGGCCCCAGCGACATGTCCCATGGAGCTCCTGCTATATACATATATCTAATGACTATTTAACTGTATGTTTGCCCCTAGTAACTTAGAGGTGAGGGTGAGGGTAGGATTCAGTCAGAACTTAATTTTTTTATCATAGATGGTGAAGTGTGACTAGAGTTACGGTATAAGCGGTCTACCAGGTTGTTGGCATCCCTATCGCTCGCTAGAAGGCTCAAACAACGTGTAACTGGCCTGGATATTATATACAAAATTTTTGCATTGTTATCCCGTCAAACCCCATTCCCACTCTCATTCCTTCATTAAAATTATCCCTTTATCCCCCGACTTCTTCAACTATCATCATCATCTTCGTCTATCTTCTTGCCCTATCCTCCCTGAAAACATTCCACAATATCCTGCTTTTAAAGCCAAAAAACATGGAAAACGATTGCTCCTTCCCCATCCGCTTGTGATGGATGGCTTCCATTGATATTTGAGGTAGATGCGCCTTCAACTAGGATAGAAGACACAGTAAAGAGAGGCAGCAAGCCTACCAGGGGCATTGCATGCATCATGATTGCAAAAACAACTTAAAAGGAAATAGCTGGCCTCTTCAAGGCACTTAACCTGCTCAGAAACCAACAATAATCATCACCACTATCATAGGGAACACAGAATCAACCACTAGATTAAAAAAAACTTTAAACATTTGATGGCGCTGAAGCACCAAAGGGCCCATAACCTAATGGATAGGGATGCCAACCAGCGTATTCTGTTTTGTGCTATAAACCTGTGACAGGTTGAGTGTTTGAAATTTAATTCTTGAAGCAGTCAATTCAGACATTGGCAACGTAACACAGTAGAAATGGCGTTGATATTCTACACTTCTACCTCACCTTTAAGTACTATACCTCGCTGGTGGGTGCTGCTTTTCACCACAGGTGTTGCGCAGCAGGCCCGCTGTCTTATGTGTTTTGGCCTGTTTTATGGCCTAAGTAGTTAGCGGTGTTGCCCAGCCATTTTTGGTTATGATAGGACGGACAGTCTTTGGAACTGCCAAAATGCATATGGCAAGTATGTTATATATCGTTGGCAATCTGCTAAACAATTGAGGTGAGTTCGAGGAATTCATACCTGTTCGACATCAAGGTCCCATACCCATAATCTTATGGTGTGAGAACTGATTCGGTCGAACTCCAGTATTGAGATTTTCATTTCAATTTCTTCTACAATATTCACAGTTATGTTGTCTGCGAGTCCATGGGCATGTTGGGGAAGTGGCTGTAATTGCCAATCGAAGACTAACTTGACCTCTTCCTCTCATACTCAGCTGCTGGGTTTTTGTTCATGCCGCAATCCACCTTGCCCCAACCATGCGCAGACTTTCCGCGAGATAGATATGGTTTGCATTATTCCGAGCGATGGGATCGGACTTCTACGGATCTCCATCTAGTTTGGTTTTCAAAAACAATGATAAAAAAAACAATGAAGTTGCATGAGATGAAGTGATGCATGTATTAGTAGTAAGTAATACACGGTGCAAGCCTCAGCTTCGGGAAAGGGATAATAAATAATACTGGCGCATATTTACACTGCATACAGGTACAGGTACATGTATGGAAAAAAGTAAAAACAAGCCTCAAAAAAAAAAAAAAACAACCCTAGTCTGGAAATCTTCCTTTTTATTCTAGCTTTCGCTTGGGTACAGATTATCCACCCAACCCGAATATTGACAACCTACCTTTGCCTCTTGCCCAAAGCTTACCGCGGGATAGCCCAAGGAAGCGCCAAAGGGAGGGCCCAAGGAACAGCCCATGGAAATACAACGCACTTCGAGTCTGAAACTGGAGTCCCTGCTGGTGTTGTCGTTGTATCACCATGCCAGTTGTACTGTAGGTTCGTTCGCTATATGGTTTGTGCTCTTCCTTGGAATTGCCTTGCTCCTTTCCCAGGGTTCCATCAGCCGAAGCACGGATCACGGGCACGGCAATCTGTCAGGAATCATCAATACTATCCATCTGCCACTTCCCTCTCCTCTCCTCTATCCTCTTCTCCGCCTTGGCAAGTGTTGTTAACATCTACTCTCGCCCATATCTGCCCTCCTTATATCTGCCGTCGCAACCAGTTTATTAGTTTGTTTCCGCATATTATCCTTGTTTGTATCTTTCCTGCAACTTTGCGCGATAGCCAAGAGCCGTCCCACTTCGCTTCTGGCGTCAAATCTCAGCCTCATTCTCGATTCGGTAACTAGCGGCGCTTGTCTCCTCCCCAGCCAACGCAAACAAACTTCAACTCACCTCCTCATCCTCAGTCTCCATCCTCATCCTCATCATCAACATCAACGCACATCTCCACATCATACTCATCTATAGTTGCGGTCTTCCTATACGATTGCAGCCCAGATGCACTGACTTTATCAATCCTCCTGCCACATAGCTCACCCTCAAATCCTGCTAAACCCATCACTACAATCACCATTACGAGGTCCAACCCAACCGGCGTCATCGCACCCCTCCAAATACAACCCCTTCCGTCTAAGCATATTTTAAAAGCAGAAGGGAAAGGGTAACCTAAATTACATACGGCCAACCACGCCCCTTGAAGGCTTGAGCGCCGTCCATCGCCAAAAAAAACCCGCCAAAGACAAAAAAGAAAAGATCACCAAGCGAAACCATGTACAACGCACATCGTGGCATGGTTGGCGGTCCTAACTCTCGTTTAACAGAGTTACTGGACCAGCTACGACAGGAATATGAGAACCAATCGCGGAGTACTGGGGAATTCGAGCATCAATGTGTGTAGATTCGTTCGATTTTTCCTCCTTTCTTTTGCCTCCCCGCTCTCAATGCTGTCTCAAAATCAAAATTTTGTCAGAGAGCATTGCCATAAACAATTAGCATGCCACGCATTCTACTCTCTTGATTTCTGCTAGTATTTGTTTCTCTTTTCGCAAGATGCCATGTCTTTAGCTAACGGGGATCGGTTTGACAGTGACTGGACAGCTCCAGGAGATGGAAATGATCAGGCAAAAGGTTTACCAGTTGGAACAAGCGCAGATAAAAATGAAACAAGAGTATGCTTTTAATGCTCATTTATATATTCTCTTCCACGGAGAAATCCACCGATTGTTTATTGCTCCTTCGTTCGCATACTTACTTCGCAGCAGATATGAGGCTGAAATACGCACCTTGCGAAGAGAACTTGAATCTCGCGGCGTCCATCTTCCTCAATCCCATATTGGGGGCCTACCAACACATGCCGGGCCTTCCCAAGCCCCCCCTCCAGCTCTTGGCCATGGCCCTGCGAACCTATTCGGTGGCATCATGGCCAACCCAGGAGGCGGAGCTCCTGCGCTTGCGCCACCTCCTCCGCCAGACCAACAGCCACCCCAGCACGCGCTTCAACAACCCGGGTCCGGTGCCCAAGGGGCCCCTCAACCACAGCAAGGTGCGTTTGGAGGATATCAGCCCACCTCGGCGGTCAATGGTATGCTCCAATCCCAATCACCGCCGCTCAGCCACAAAAAGACAAACATCGCAGCGGAAAAAGCATTTCTAATGAATTACCGTCAGCAGGATATGGTCCTCCACCTCCCACGACTTCTCCAGGCGCTGGAAAAGGCAGAGCCAATCGCGCACCCGGCCCGGCAACCCCTCAGCAAAATCACCAGGTTGCTTATCCCGACCCACGCGCATCACCTCAGATCCACCGTCCCACACCCCCTGGCCAGCAATTGAGTTATCGCGTTGGAAATACATTGGCGGATTTAGACCCTGACAAGCTTCCCCCGAGCCAAAAGCGAGAAGGTTCCGACTGGTACGCCGTTTTCAACCCTGAAGTGCCTCGCGTCCTGGATGTCGACCTTGTCCATCACCTCGTTCACGATAGCGTTGTTTGCTGTGTAAGATTTAGCAATGACGGCAAATATGTTGCTACTGGTTGCAACCGCTCTGCGCAGATATTTGATGTTGCGACTGGACAGCTGGTAACTGCTTTGCAGGATGATAGTGTGCTTGATAAAGAAGGAGACCTCTATATCCGCAGCGTCTGCTTCAGCCCTGATGGCAGATATCTGGCTACCGGCGCAGAGGACAAACAAATCAGAGTATGAACTTTTTCTGTCCCCATCGTACATCGATTTTCTCTCACTGCGACAGTTAACTAATTGTATATATTATAGGTATGGGATATTGCTACCCGAACCATCAAACACATCTTCTCCGGTCACGAACAAGACATCTACTCCCTCGACTTCGCCCGCAATGGACGCTACATCGCGTCCGGCTCGGGTGACAAAACCGTTCGCCTCTGGGATATCGTCGATGGCAAACAAGAGCTCATTCTCAGCATTGAAGACGGTGTTACCACTGTCGCAATCTCACCTGACGGGCGCTTCGTTGCTGCCGGGTCTCTGGATAAGAGCGTTCGGGTCTGGGATACGACGACTGGATACCTTGTCGAACGCCTAGAAAACCCAGATGGCCACATGGATAGCGTTTACTCCGTTGCCTTTGCGCCCAATGGCAGAGATCTAGTCTCCGGCAGTTTGGATAAGACTATTAAGATGTGGGAGTTGACGCCACCGAGGGGTATGGTACCCGGCGCGGGACCCAAGGGCGGAAAGTGTGTTCGAACGTTTGAGGGTCATAAGGTACATTCGAGGAGACGGGCTTTCACTAATTAATTTATGACAATGTCAAACTGTTGCAAATAAACTAACGTGCTCGTCTCTTTTTTTTAGGACTTCGTTCTTAGTGTCTGCTTGACACCGGATGGACGCTGGGTAATGAGCGGTTCCAAGGATCGTGGAGTGCAGTTCTGGGACCCAGCGACTGGGAACGCGCAGATGATGCTGCAGGGCCATAAGAATTCGGGTTAGCTTTACTATTGATGCTAGTCGACTCCGTCTATATGCTAACAGTGTTCTTTCTGTCAAAAAATAGTTATCTCTGTCGCACCCAGCCCAACTGGTAACCTATTCGCTACTGGAAGTGGAGACATGCGTGCTAGAATCTGGAGGTCAGTATTGGTTTTTTTTTCTTTTTTTTGCCCGATTGCCCCATCTAGTCATCATGTTTTTTGGTTTTCGGCGCCGGCTCAACCAAAGAACCAACCCCTTTCTTTTCCGCTTTTGGCATGTTTTATCTGTATATTAACTTGTGATATCAGGTTAATATACTAACCTAAAATAAACCCTCTTATATCAATAGCTATACCAATTGGGATCGAAGGGTGTAAGTTGTTTTTCATCTCGACACGCGCTTCAAAGGATTTACGCATTGCCAACCGTACACACTTTCTCACCTACGCGATATCCTGCATAACACATAATATACCAATTCATAAGGAAGAGAAGCATACGAACACACTATCGGACAAGGTATAGCGAGGCGAAATCAAACTGTGCAAAGAAATTAAGGGATGGAGGAAGGGATATATGCCTGGTGGAACATTTTATTGACATACACTGTTCTTCCCTCCCCTTAATTCCATTTCTACTTATGTACCTTTTATTACCTATTTGAGCATGAAAAGGAAAAAAAGGAAAATTGAAATTAATACAGAGGTAGCTATCCGTTGCGGGAAAAGAGGGGGAAATCAGAACAAAATGGACATGAAATTATAAATTTCTTATCGGGCTTCCATTCCCTTTTTTCCCCATTTTTATGGTTTATGGTTTATGTAGTTTTTATGGAGTTTTTATTTTGATCTAGTTTAAGCCTGTGTCATCTTTTGACTTATTTTATATCATCATCTGCATTCTTCTAATATTCATCATCATTTCACTCACTGAAAGTTGGTACTTGTTGATTCCATTTCCTGAGATTTTTGTATTTTTCTTCTTTTGTTTTTTGCCTTTTGTGTCTTTTCTTTCTTTCCCCATTTTCCCTTTTTAAAAAACTATATTTGTTTTATTCGGCAATCAATTACAAACCATACATAATATTTTAAAAAAAAAAAAAAATTAATGAAAAAAATAGCTATGAAAAACTATACTATTATAGAGTGTTAATCAGCTGTAAATAAAGTGATAATAAATTAAAGTGAGAAATGATTGTAATAGTAGCTAGTAGAGACTGATTGTTGATTTATTATTACTAGGGATAGTCCGTTCTCTACTTAACCTTTGATTCTCAGCGATAGTTGTGAGCTTGTTTATCATTTAAATGATTAACACTGTATACTTAGTATTCTCTCTCTCTCTCTCTCTCTCTCTCTCTCTCTCTCTCTATATATATATATATATATATATATTGATACGAAGATATCAAACTCTGCATGTAATTCTGTCAGTATAAATAAGTTGATACTATCTAGTGATGGTATCTATCAATGGCATGTAGCTGTCGATGATATGGTAATTTTGTATGTAATGAAGATATTTGTGCTAACTTACAGCTATAAAAAATTAAGGACTCTTAGCAGGTGTGATTATCCATCCCCTTCCAAGCCCGTGAAAGGAAGCAAAACGGGAAGATGCCTTTGCTTCCATGCGCTTTCCTAACAATAGATCAGATATTTGTGCCTGAAAGGTGACTGAGTCCAAGCGTGGTCGCCGCCAGATCCTAAGGCAAAGAATCTGTACAGAAGTATGGAGGCGTGCAAAATAAGTCCCTGCACACGCCAGAAACATAAGTGGAAATCTCAATACCAGAGTCTATGAGGCCTTGATGCCCTAACCTGACAGTCAAGCTCTAGGCATCCAGCCTCTAAACCCACACCAACTGGTTAAGGGGCTTGTTCGTCAACAGATGTGCAACATGTTTACCATATAAATTTCTAGCCTATGTAATGACTTATTTTCCACACCTCCACACAGAGGGATTCATGATTATTGCCTCTTTTTTCTTCGTTCGAGTCTGGGGCAATGCATGTTTTTGTTGATTGATCAGAAATAGTGAGCTTTGTCCATGAAAAAACAACGCGGATGTGCTGCGTAAGAAACAAGCACGTTATAGCCCGGCCTTTGATTCGAAGATCGATAACCCCTTGATTGTAATTGGCTCAATGCAAGGCCTCTCGGCAGAAGGGAGTTCTGGTTCAGATCCCCCAGCTTATCCAAAGCATCAGACAATGCACCAAAGTCTCCGATCTGCGGCATCCGTTTGAACTTGCCCCACGCAGGCTGGGGTCAGCTCTTGGCGCACTCCTCGCCCGCTGTTTCGGTTGCGGAACGGTGCGCAGGAAGGAGCTCTATTCCTGCTGGCGTTTATCAGTTATCTCCTCAACAAACAAACGGCAATCAACTCCATACGAACTCCCTACCGCTGCACATTTAACCCACATGAAACACCTCATGACATGCAGCTCCACCATAAGCAAAAGGGATTTGAAAGTGCAGAGGACGCGGCGCTGGTATCATGTATGCCGGCCGTGCTGTGGGTCATGCCTCCTCTGCTTCTCCCGTGGGCGTAGTGGGTCGTCATTATGATCAAGTTCAGGAGGGGCTTCCCATCTGCATATTCTGCACTAGTTGTACGCGGTATGCATTGCGAGGTCAAGTGGCGCGCGCCACTGCATTGAAAATATCGGAAAAAAGAAACGAGGCTAGCCTTAAAAGAAGCAAACACAAAAATGAGAAAAAGAAAAGACGAGGCTGGAGGTGTCGCTGAATGGGTCTCGAAGAATTCGTTAGGTCCCTAATATTTCTCGTTTCTTGTTCCGCTTACGCAGTATTATCTGTCATATCCAGGTTTGAATGGAAGTAGTAATTCCCTGTTTTCCTTATCCAAAGTCATAATTCATTCCTCCTACGATACAGATACGTACACAGATAGCATGGACTCCACCCCAGCCTACTGAGCTTTGCAACAGAAAAAAAAAAAAGAAAAAAGAAAAAGAAAAAAACCAAAGAAGATTCAAATCCATGGATATGCATGCGGAAACGGAAAGAAAAAGCAAAAGAGTGGGGAGGCCTGAAAAAAGCAAAAAGAAGAAAAAGCAACAAAGGCACGGCGGCCCAGCCAGTTGGTCATCTTGCTCCTAAAATGTGCACATGCATGCGCTGATTGATCAATGATGATTCGATCTTGTTAGTTTTTTCCCCACGATCACTGCCGTCCCAGATGCGTTTCCAAACAACCGCCGGGTACATTTCCCCTGTTCATTATTCTTGGTCCGCTTTCCGCCTCCTTTTCCTTTCTCTCCCATCCTTCGTTGAGGATGGATAATTGGTTGCTTTTGTTGTTCTGTTGTGCTGTTGGTTCCGTGTCCGCGAGCACGCTCCCCGCCCCAGCCAAAAACCCAAGGTGGAATCGGCTCGCCCGACCACTAGCCCTGGAGATCAGTCACGCGGGCCTGCGAATAGTGCGAAATAGGTCCCTGTCATGGTATATTTTTGCTTCTTTTTTTCCCCTTTCTTTTCACGGCCCGAGGGAGAGGGAGAGGGAAGGTTTCTTTCACCCAATGGATTTTCTGCTGGTATATCGGACGGATTGAAAAATCAATGACGCATATACTACGATGAACTCTGTGCGTACGGATCTATACTTCTTTGTCAGCTAGAGCGGTCTCTCCACGAATAGCTCAACAGTCCCTGAGGATCACCAGGTCTCTTGAAGGCAGAAAGTGATTTACGTTGGGCTTGTTACTGCTTGTTAGATCCAGGAATATCCTGATATCCAACATGCTCCCCACCGTGTAGCGCTGCCAATATGGTAATTCACGTCAGAATTGCGTTAGGGAAACAGCCGTTGTGCTCTAGAAACCAAGCATTATAAAAATTGGGTGGTGGAATTCAATCACAAATGCCAGTAGGAGGAAAACCGGATATCATCCTAACCGACAAACCACGACAACAAGTCGGCTCGTAGCGAACAGTTTGCACCACGCAATCTTCTGAGAGTAGGGATCGGGCCGAACCCATTCTGTGCGGGCTGGAAAAGTATGATCGTGGTTCTTGGAATTGGCCCTGACCATGGAGGTCCTGGAAGTTTGCCGCAGCTCCATAAACGTGTTAAAATCTCCTGTGTCGAAAAGTGGAACAGGCGTGTGTTCCAACCACAGAAAATCACCACGAGGGGTGACATGCAACAAAACGGCAATGGGCGCGCCAATTCGTCAGTCAGCTCGGCCATCTCGCGATGAGTCTTTGATCCAAGCTCCACTAGTTATTTTTCAGCGTTAAGCGCTACATCCCGTGTTGTGTTCTGTATTATACTGGGATTTTGGTTTCAACTAACTCCAAGCCGAATTCGGATGGGCTTGTTCATGTTGGGCTCAAAACTCCAACTCCTCAATGGCCAGTCATAGGCTAGTGGGGGCGCCACCTTGCGACCCTCCCTGCTGCCGTGCAGTGCCGATACGGTGCCTCCCCCTGAAGCCCGTCTCTGAAAGCTTCGACAAAAAAAAGGCGCTCGAAAGTCAGCCTACCTGTTCCTTGTAAGTTTTGCTGCGATTCGATCCCTGATATCTCTGAAGCTTTGGGTCGCGGATCGCTGATCAGTTTGGCTTCTTGCCTTGACCTGCCTGAGAGCAAGCGTAGACGTGTTTGATTATTGCGACACGCGGTGTGTGCGGTCTCACACCAACCCATATATCCCTGCATCAGGGTGTCCACCGTATCATATTGGTCCATGGGCGACAGCCCCCGCTCCAGTTGGTATGTGGTTCCTTTTGGTGACGGGTATGGAATCTTTGCAGCGGCCTGGCAAGGTCACACTTCAAGCTTGGCCACGACGGAATCTCTGCGATCTGCCGCGATTGGTGCACCGCCTCGTGCGGCCGGCTTCGGACTTTTCTGGCACGATGAGTCGCCAGAGTGATCAAGCCAGCTATGGATAGATCGAGAAATAATAAACATCACTAGCGAGTGGGCCTTGCTCCAACACTTGCGGTGCGTTTGCAGGCGCTCTATCAAGCTAGCCCAGAGTTGTCCTTTTCATCCACTGCCACCGACTTACAGTGTACTCTTCAAACTTCGGGAAAAGCCATATTCTTACACCCTCTCCAGCATCACAGCAATCAACCAAGAGCGAGCGAAATAGAGTGACAAATCAGCTCCAATCATTTCCTCAAGGTCGGGTTGGTTCAACTTAATAATACCCACGCCTTGGCAAATGCAAATCCTGATACTGTGCATTGAGTCGATAGCCAGCCAACGGCCGTTCTGGATCGGGATCTTCAAATCGACGAAAGCCCAAAGATGACAGGCTGCTTTCTAGGATGGGCGGCGCAAACCAAGAACTCCAGGTTAGAACTTCCCATGACTGAGTCAGGGAAGAAACAAGTTGTATTCATTATTTGTTACCGAACACTCAGACTCTCAACATTATCATAATACCATTCCCATTAGTTAGCTGTCGCAATAATTACGATCCAGATCAAAACCCAACTGCTGGCCTTCCTCCCTGGCCATTATTCTTGTCCGGGTTCCTGGCAGTCTTTTGCCCAGATCCACCCGGCTCCACTGAGGCACCTGGTGATGTTCGTTATTGGGCGTTTCTGCTCACATCCGGGCCTTATTTTTACGGCTGGTCCCCCGAACTTGACGCTAGGCTAACTGCTCAGGTTGGAATATTTTAGTGTCTGCTAATCTCAAGCCCTGAACAATTTCGGGGGCTTGGGAACGCGGGCAACTAGCCCACCCTCCCACCTTTTCCTGTCAGGGATATCCGAGCTAGCTCGCACCGCCTACTGGATTTTCTCCCACGCTCCTCGCATTTGAACACTTCGAATCCGATTCTGCAGCTGCTAATGCGATGGAGGTAAAGGGACATCTTTAATTTTTATTTATTTAATTTTTATTTTCGCGGGTCACCACAATTAGAGCGCCAACCTTTTCCTGCATTGCTTCTCTTGGCCTATTATTCTCGATTTCCTATTTGACGACTGCCAACTATCCAGTTTCCTGTATTTTGGTATTATCACCTCCAATAGCCTTCGTGCACCCTTGGAACCCTAAGCAGGAAACACACTGTGGTCTGAACTCCCCTTGTGTATGTTAACAAATAACCCCCCAACGCCATACGCCATACTCCGCTTTTTCGTGCTGCCGATCTCCAGAATCGTTGTATATCTTACCTCTGCTTTCCTTCAGCTTCCTGAGTGTTTGCCTGCGCCCGTTTGATTGTTCACCCCGTCGAATACGGGCTTTTTGTTTTTAACAGCCAGGACAGAACCTCGCAGGACATCATCAGAGTTACCATTCTACACCTCGTCTACCTTAGCTACGAAACGATTCTTGGCGAATGCTGGGAACCAATTGAGATCTCCACGATTGCATCAACAGCTTTTCATACCCAAAGTCACACTTCTCTTCACAGCAACTCGCTTGCGTCTCTAGCTGACAAAGCAGCTCTTGTTTGCAGAAAAACAGTTCTTCCAACACCAATCGTCATCGGCAAAGGCAGTTGCTAGGAACAAAGGGTCTTGTGACAGCAAAAGAAAAACATCAAAAGCAAAAACGAAAAAGCAAAGAGCAAAGTAGTTTATTCCAGCAAAGAAAAGAAAAGAAAAAAGAACAAAATCATAGAAAAAGAAATCAAGTTACACTGACGTGCGTCGAATGTCATTATTCTCCGCTGGCCTCAGGAACTGGAAACCCACCCTCCCCCTCCTTCGTTGACTGTGCCCTATAGACAGGGTCGGACCTCGAGCTCACCTTGCCGTCCGAGATGGAGACGGCGGTCCCAGTTACGTACAATGTTACGAACCATGACATGAACGCTGTTGCTCACCGCCGCATGATGGCTCCCCATCAACATCACCACCACCATGACCAGAATATCGCATACTTCTCAAATCCACCAATTCCATATTCGACCCCTCTGCAACCCCCTTCTTTTAGTGGCTTCGGCCACATTTTAAATAACCATCCCCATCATACCTCCTATCAGGGTTACTTCAATTCGAATCCGAGTCACCAGGTTAATTCCCATCATCCTCGACTGCCCGCAGAGACGAACCCAGTGCAACAACTTTCAGATGTCCGCCATGTCAAAAACGCCAACCCCCGTTTAATCAGGCCTTCTCCTCCAAAGGAAGACACTCTCCCCCCTCCACCTCCACAACGCATGTGCGTCCCACCAGCGCGAAATACAACACAGCATGAGGACTCGAAACCTATGCACAAGCCCGAGGTGGTGTTTGGGACAGAAGTGGATACTTTGATGAAGGCCATACAAGCTAAACCGCAACCACCGTCACCTCAGGCGGAACACCAACTCCCTCCCTTGCAACAAAAGTTCAATAGCGGCGTCACCAATTGGATTCATCCAGCCTACGCCAACCAAATGGGTGGAAACCAGTCTATTTTCCCTAACCCCCCTCAAGATCGCATTCCGCCCGCGAACCAAAAACCTAAAAGGAAATACGAGTGCACTCTCCCTCATTGCAAGAAGAGCTTTTTCCAGAAGACACATCTTGATATCCATATGCGGGCACATACCGGTGACAAGCCTTTTGTAAGTCAGCGCCTGGGCAGCCACCTTTTTTGATAATGTCAGGAAATGGAGGCTCATTATGGATAATGCGTACGTAGACATGCAAGGAGCCCTCGTGTGGCCAGCGGTTTTCTCAACTGGGGAATCTTAAGGTGAGTTGGAAAAATAGATAGATATCCCGCGTCTCGAACCCACGCGTTAGATTCTTACAACCGCATTGTTCAGACTCATGAACGAAGACACACTGGCGAGAAGCCTTACTCGTGCGAGATATGCCACAAGAAATTTGCCCAGCGAGGCAATGTCCGCGCCCACAAAATCACGCATGAGCAGGCAAAGCCCTTTACATGTCGGCTAGACGACTGTGGGAAACAATTTACACAATTAGGAAATCTTAAAGTCAGTATTACCTGGTTAAGCCAATGCCGCACAGACACATCCATTTCACTCTTGAAAACAGAAAGCTAAAAATTCCAATAACAATACAGTCCCACCAAAACAAATTTCACGCCCAAACTCTCCGAAACTTAACCCTTCGATTTGCATCCATTGCCGACATCGAGCGTATGTCTCCACAGGACAAGGAGTTGTGGAGCTACTTCTCCAACCTATACCGGAATAGCAATAAGGGCATCAAAGGCCGTGGCAAGGACCGCCGCGTATCAACTGCCAAGCGCTCAATGAGTGCCTATGATGGGAGCCCCTCGGAAAGCGAGGATGATGGCAAGGATCGCAATCGAACTTATGACCGCGCATCAGCAGTGATGACCTCCAACAACGACGAACCGGATTATCGTGAGCAGCTTTACCACAATAGGAACGGTGGTCATCATTGAGAAAGAACTATACCACTCTCGCCCTGTGCGAAAACCATTACGGATACCAGAAAAATTATGAACCGGAAGACCTGACCGTTTCAAGTAGGCGTGATTCGGAAGGTACAGCCGTTTCGGTTGCGGTTTTAGATACGTACCCTACATCGACTGCCAGCGCAGTATATTATTACCGGCCCATTCCCAGTCATACATATAACCCGAGCTGAGAATGACATGCATGAGCTACTGGAATTTTATTGCACGCTGGACACCGGTATTTCCGTTTCCTGCAACCCCTTTCTAGGACCTTTTTCCTCTTTTACTGTCCACTTCCGGCAGGAATTATTCAGTGGTTTACCTCTTTGCTTATTTGACTGGAATCTTGTCCGTTTTTATATATCTAAATACCTTTTTATTTCCCCTTTTTTCACTTTTATCTTTAATTTTCTATTTCCCCTTTTTACTCTTCAACTCTATATATCTCTCTGACATATACGCTGCTTTGCATTCGGATATGAATTGTTTTTCTCATCTAGGTTTTGTTGTATGTCTGTTGTTTCGTCTGATAGCACATTGACAACTGCCTTTTTCTACAGTGGCAAGGAGAAAAAATGAGGATGTAAGCAGGGAGGGAGAGGAAAGCGTTGATCATCATGGCCAACAATCATCGTCAAATCCATGCAATGTTGAATTTTGTGCATAGCATCTGGACTGTGGCTTTTTCGGGAACCTTTGTTGTACGTCTGTGTTGTTAGTCCGCATACACGCTCTACATGTTCTGCTTCGAGACATTAGAAATGGATGGGTGGGTGCGGGGCAGTGGGCGAATATCTGAACAAACGGAAGGGTGAAAATAACATGAGGGGGAATGGGAGAATATAAGACATATTCATCGGGTAGTCATGGTGTTGTTGTATGGACATGGGAAATTAATACAGCAAGGTGTTGGGGGATCGGATTACCTATATATTTTGTTCGGGGTTCACATTCCCTTTTTATTATACCAGGGTTTATCATATATTATTATGTATATTTGCATTTAATTTGGTGTACGTGATCTCCAGTTTGATTTCTTGGTTTCTTGGTTCCCGGGATATCTGAAGAGTAGTCTGCCGAAAGGAAAGAAAAGGCATTTAGATACGAGGACAACACTACGCCTCACGATCGAGTAAATCGGGGAGGAAAGCAAAAACTGCACAACAAAAACCGCCGAATGACTGTCCACACCTAATATCCTAAAATGAGGGTGGGTAAAGCCTTTTTGACATTGACGAACACCATTCACCTCACAAGACCAGCGAATCCACCTCAAAACAAAGGCTACCAACTCTCCTCAATATATATAGAGCGTAGTATCAAACCCGGCGGATATGTATAGGCAAGCAAATAAAATCAGATCCCTGTGGTAACCCCCTCTTCCCCGAAGTCACACTACCGGACCCATCAACAAATGAATCCTAACATTTTCATAAACCAAAAAAGTGACCCAGGTACTTGGCAACACACGCAGCAAATTTGGTCCCAACCCTTTATAAAACCCCATCACACGTTCCCTGCGCCATATCTGGCCGATCGCATCTATCACTCCGCGATACGTTCCAGCTGCATCGTACGTCTGCAGCCGGGCTTTAAGTACCTGGTACGGATACGTCACGCAGCCAGCGAATACCTTGGACGTGCCGGAGAGAACAAGGTAATCCATGTTGCCTAGTTTGAGGTCTTTGGTTGTCGTACCTCCATTTGCGTTTCCGTTTCCAGACATGCCGACGACAGATGACGGTGCTGCACGGCATTGTTTGAGTTTTTCGTAGGACATGAACTGGAGGGCACCGTGGCTCACGCCGAATAGGGCGGGAATCATGCCGCGGTAGAAACCCATAACTCCTTCAGAACGGTATATGGAGCGCGCACCTGCAACAAGAGAGGGGTAGGCGCCGGGGACTTGTGAGCCGGTGGAGAGCATGCGGGTTTTTATGACCCAGATCGGATTGGTGAGAAAAGCTGTTAGTACGCCTGCGAAGAACAGTGTTAGTTATCCATATTATACCAAGGGCCCAGTATATGGAAATTGGATTGTATAATACCTGCAGCCCCAGATGCGGCGAAGTAATCCAACGATCCCAACCCTTCTTCCTTCCTCGATCCGTGCAAGACATGTAGGGTGTCCTTAATATTGCTATACCAGAGGAAGTACAAACCCCAGCTCACTGAATTCCCCACGATATTTGGTGTGAGGCCCCGATAGAAGCCAGTTACGATGCCACCCTCATTTTGGACGATGCTGCGAGCGATGCGGACCGAGCTGCCAATTCGCGAGGTGGAGAAACGGTCCACTGCAAAAAAAAAAAAAAAAAGTTATTGAGTGCTATCTTCTACCAGGATAGCGGAATAGGTTAATAGAGACACTTCATATACTGTACCTTGGAGTCTCGTCTTGATCACATCGAGGGGGTGAACCACGAGGGTTGATGAAATGCCAGCGGCGAAGCCAGCTATTGTCTCGACAACTGATGGCGACAGGCCATGGTTACCATTCATGGACTCGTTTTGAGAAGTCCGTAGAGGACCCTTCGGCTCTCCCCAGAGCCACGAAACGGTGTTTCTATTTTTCTCGAAGACTGAGGTGGCAGTGGTGTTGTTGGTGTTGGTTGTTTGGATCTCGGTGAGGTCAAGGATGAAGTTCGCCCGTTTTTTGAAATACAATAAATTTGCTCTAGAATCAACTCTATCTGAAACGAAAGGACGGACACTTTAGACCAGGTAATAAAGATCGAGATACACTTTACAAACTTCTCGGGAAATCAGCCTTAATTATCTTTCACAATATAGGGGAAATAGATCTAGTTGATGGCAATCCAGCCTAGAGGACTTTAGAGCCTTCGATAACCTTTGATATTGCCATAAAAAGTAAGAACAACAAAGCGAAAAGAAGACGACTAATATACAAATGCTTCCAACTCCAGATTCTAGTTAGAGAAATAGTAGAGGAAACATCTAGTGCCTAGCACCCCTCCACCTGCGCAAGCGTCTCACCAGAATTCTGCGTGCTAGGGTCATTTCAGAAGCAAATGCTCCTTGTCCATCCCACAGGCAAAAGACTTTTCGTTATGGTTTATACGCTCAACTGCAGCATTCTCTCTCGAAAAACCAGCCAGCATCCAGGTCATCTCATAAAAGTTGGTTGAGTTCATGCGAAGGGCGAGAAAAGCCTGAGAACGAGATGTCGAAGTGAGTTTATGCCTTTTGAATTTACGGACAGTGAGAGTGGAGCGTGAGAGTACGTACTTCAAGAGTTGCGGCCGCGGCTCGCTATATGTGTATCCTGATATTTGTTAGTCAAACAACGGTCTATAAATTGAAGACAGAGGGCGATCCTTACCAAGGTAGATGATGAAAGGCAGATATCCACTGCAACAGGTAAATGGGAATGATCAGTAATATAGATTAAGGATGAAATAAAGCAGCTTCCTGGTAACTCAACTCACTAATGAATAGCCACTCTGGATATGCCGATGACCTTGGAAATACGTTCCTTTCCTGGGTCAGTAGAAGATAATCTTTTGCGGAAGCATAGTAAGTAGCTCACCTTAGTCTCTTCGGAGAACTGAACCATTTTGTGACACGTTGTAGAATGGTATGATGCAAATATAACTCAGCCTTTCGTTTGTGACTAATGGTAATTTGGGGGAGTTCTTGTAGATATATTGACTGCGGTCAAGTTGTCTGAGAAGTTGAAGATGGAGCGGACAAGGTTTTCGCCGAGAAAGGAGCTACGGAGCTGAGGCCAAATCGGGCAATTTCTAACCACGAAATTCTTTTCTTCTTACTCATACGTCCACCAAATACATCCAACAGAATTACAGATTGTTGATAGACAGCAGCATACTTTTTCTTAAGATAGCAATCACCGGTGTTACGGATCCTATTTCCCCACCATGGCTGGAGTCCGACATTGGTGCGAAAAACAACACCCAACCCCCCAAGTGGAAGGCGCTGACAATATATTCACAGGGAGCAAGACAAAGAAGCGACCGTATACATCGGAAACCTGGACGAGCGCATCACGGATAGCCTAGTCTGGGAATTGATGCTCCAAGCCGGCCGCATTGTCAACGTTCATCTCCCCAAAGACCGCGTCACCCAGACCCATCAGGGCTATGGGTTCGTTGAATTCATCAGCGAGGAGGATGCCGAATATGCTGCTCGAATTATGAACCAGGTCCGCCTCTACGGGAAGCCCATCCGCGTAAACAAGGCGTCCGCGGACAAGCAGAAGACGGTCGAGGTTGGCGCGGAGTTGTTTGTGGGCAATCTTGACCCAATGGTTACAGAACAGGTGTTGTATGATACGTTCAGCCGCTTCGGGAGTCTTATATCTGCTCCAAAGGTATGTTACCTGCATTATTCCGGCTGCCGCTCATTTATTTAAGTAAACTAAGAGTCACGGTGTTAGATTGCACGAGATGATGCGAACCTTTCTAAGGGTTACGGCTTCGTCTCCTTCTCCAACTTCGAAGCCTCGGACGACGCCATCGCAAATATGAATGGCCAATACCTCATGAACAAGGAAGTCTCTGTCCAATACGCGTACAAAAAGGATGGTAAGGGTGAACGACATGGCGACCAGGCCGAACGCATGCTCGCAGCCCAGGCGCGAAAACACAACGTGCAGCCCCAAGCACAGCCCTTGCCTCCGCAACTTGTCGGAGGCGGGCCAGGCGTGCATCCGCATCAAATGCCCCAACCGCCAATGGTTGACGGCGAGGGCACTAATGCGGTTGCCGCTGCTCGAGGAATAAACCCTGTTGCCGCTGCTGGTGGTCCACCAGATTTTGGCGGTGGGCGGGGAATCCCCATCGGCAACGGCGGCGGCTACCATCACAATCAGCAAATGCCACCAGCACAACACCAACAACAACATCCCCATCCCCATCCTCACCCACCCCAACATCCACTTCAACACCACCGACCACTGCCCCATGCGCATCATCCACCTCCACCCCTTTCCGCTCCCCCTCCAGGTCTGCCTGCCAGGCCTCCTCCATCTCAAGCGGGATATGGCGGTCCCCCACCGCAGGGATTTGTTCCCCCTCCCCGCTTCGGTCAGCAGCCGCCACCAGCCGGCTTTGGTCCAACCCCGTCTGCAGCAGGTCCGCCTGGTGCTACACCGCCCCCGCTTCCTCTTGGGTTTCAGCAGCCGGGGTATGGAAGGGGTCGGTGATTCGATAGGGATTTCCGGGCTTAGTTACGTCTGTTACATCACAATTGCGGCTATTATAGTTAAAGGGCTCCGGAGACAGTATGCTGTTCTCTGGAATGCGGCTTGACAAATGGGCATCACCGGAATAAATGATATGTCCATCGCTCTGGCCAAGAAATGGGATTATATGTGAAGCCATTCCGCCGTCGTTATTTATGGACTTCTTCGAAAATCGAATGGCTCCAGCGCATTAGAAAGAACACGGATGGCAACTACGCGCAGCGCAAGGAGAGGAGGAAATGCAGAAATTGATAGATCCGATGTCGACGCATAAATAACACGCTTGATGTCCTTGGGCCCCAGTGATTCATTCAATAGGACACGACCTTTACACATGCACAATACATATGGCTGTTCGATAGGGCGGGAGGGCTAAAAAAGTGAGAGGTCAGGAAAATATATATGGATGTATATACCTAGATGAAAGCTAAACATGGGGCGTTACATAATGTCCATGGACTCGGTTCGACAACCGAAAACTCAAAATGAAATAAGAAAAGTTAGTGGACAAGAGACGAAAAAAACTCGGAGGAAGGAAATGACGTTTTTCAAAGAAATGACGGGGATCCCCGTGGTCAGGGGAGCATGTGTTGATAGCTGTAGATAGGAAAATGGCAAATGGAGATTATGTGATATTTGCCAGAACGCAGATTGCAAAATCAAATCAAAGTTCATCGATGATATATGGAAAGACGAGAAAAGGAAAAAACAAAAGAAACAGAAACAGAAACAGAAACAAAAAATTCCAGTTTAACCTCCCACTATGCCATTGTATCCAATTACCATATGCATACATCTCATACTTAATCCCTCTGTGATAAGATAGCACTATGACCACTAGGTTATCCATAGCAAAAAGCCAACGTAACCATTTGTTAAATGGTTGCGCTCATAGTGATATATATACCCGTGGGTGTGGTGGTGTGGCTCGGCTCACAGCGGGTGTGGCCACCCAATCCACCATCTATATACTGCAACCATCAGCTGCAGCATAGTGGGGAACCACATCCTCCCTCATCTGGTGGAGATGCAACTAGACTGGCCGTGTGATCATGCATGGGACTGGGACCAAATTTTTTCTCAGTCCTATTATTAGATATCTTAGTCCTGGTCCCATATAGTGTTTAGTAAATTAGTCACTTTACACTGTTTATATTATAAATTGTGGGACGTCTAAGTGGTTGTATTAGCATGTAGGCAGCTGAGGCATATATGTGCGGTGCGCTAGTCCGTGATAGGCAGCCTAAGGCCAACACCTCCCCTCAGACTAGTAGCTGTACAGATATCTATCTATCTATCTAGAAATCCTATTATACATGAAATTGCAAAATCAAATCAAACAATCAAATCAAGTAAATCAGACAAATCAAGCAATCTATCAATCAGATTGTTGTTTCCACTTCTTCAGCTGATTGTAATTCCCTTCTCCTTCTATATAATCTGGCTGGCTTAGACTGGCTGTGTGACCATGCATGGGACTGGGACCAAATTTTTCCTCAGTCCCATTATTAGATATCTTAGTCCTGGTCCCATATAGTGTTTAGCAAATTAGTCACTTTACACTGTTTATATTATAAATCTAGTCCCAGATCATGTTTTACTAATAAATTAGTGATCCTGGTCCCATTTGGTCCCATTTTACAAAATGGGACCAAATGGGACCATGATTTACCCTATATAGGTTGGCAGCGATAGATAGGTTGGCAGGTTGGCAGCGGTAGGTAGGTTGGCGGCGATAGATTAGCAGCGATAGATTAGCAGCGATAGATTAGCAGCGATAGATTAGCAGTGATAGATTAGCAGCGATAGATTAGCAGCGATAGATTAGCAGCGATAGATTAGCAGCGATAGATTAGCAGTGATAGATAGGTTGGCAGCGGTAGGTAGGTTGGCAGCGGTAGGTAGGTTGGCAGCGATAGATTAGCAGTGATAGATTAGCAGTGATAGATAGGTTGGCAGCGGTAGGTAGGTTGGCAGCGATAGGTAGGTTGGTGGCGATAGATTAGCAGCGATAGATTAGCAGTGATAGATTAGCAGTGATAGATAGGTTGGCAGCGGTAGGTAGGTTGGCAGCGATAGGTAGGTTGGTGGCGATAGATTAGCAGCGATAGATTAGCAGCGATAGATTAGCAGTGATAGATAGGTTGGCAGTGGTAGGTAGATTGGCAGCGGCGGGTAGATTGGCAGCGGTGGGTAGATTGGCAGCGGTGGGTAGATTGGCAGTGGTGGGTAGGTTGGCAGCAGCGGGTAGATTAGCAGCAGCACTAAGCAAGATAGGGGTAATATCTCCACCAATCATATCATCAGATTGATGTATTATATAATCATCAGAATGGGACCAAACTTGAGTCAAAATCATGATCAGTCCCAGATCATGTTCTGATTTTGATAGTCAGTCACTTTACATGGAATATCAAGATTTTTTAGTCCCATTTCACTCATGTTTTGATAATTCTAGTCACTTTACACTTCTATTCTGATTCTGGTCCCACTAAAATCATGCCAAGAAATGGACTGAAATCAAATCAAACCAAATCAAATGTGTAATTCATGGTCCCAGTGGCCAGTCTAGGCTGGCTTTTCAAGAGTTCATCTCTATTCAAAGAAACTGTAGTGTATAATCCTTGATTAGATTGACTGATTATAAGATTCTTCTCTTTATCTTATTTTTTATCTCTCTCTTTGCTTTTATTTTTTGATTTCTTCATTATCTTAATTTTTTTCTTATTATTTTCTCTTTATTCAGCATCTGCTAGATGAAAGTTTTTGAGTCAGCAGATATCAGCAATATACTCAGTTCATTCACAGTAGTAGCACTGACAGCTATTTCATTAATTAATATAATCATTAATAGTGATAACAGCAGCAGTGATAATAGTAGTGATATTTCAGATAATAGTAATGATAACTCAGATAGCAAGCTGATTTATTAAATTATCTAAATTCAGATTCTTGATAAAGCTCTATCTAGTAGTATAGAATTCATTCAACTTTGTTCTAACAAATTTCTGTTGCCAATTCTTCAATCTCAGTATAAAGAGGTTATGATAGATACTCTCAGCTCAGTTTTTACTCAGAGATATAAGTTTTATCTTCAGTTTCTGAAAAGTTGCAAAATAGATATGAAAATTGTCATTTCTCAGATATAGATCTCTGATTTTCTTGATGATAAAGAGATATTTCTCTATATAAGATATTGTATATCATCAGATAGACTGACTATATGACTATATATAAAACTGAGATCAAATTTTTCCTCAGTTTTATTATTAGATATCTTAGTTCTGATCTTATATAGTGTTTAGTAAATTAGTCACTTTACACTGTTTATATTATAAATCTAGTTTTAGATCATATTTTACTAATAAATTAGTGATTCTGATCTCATTTGATCTCATTTTATAAAAATGAAATCAAATGAAACCATAATTTACTCTATATAGATTGGCAGTGATAGATAGATTGACAGTGATAGATTGACAGTGATAGATTAGCAGCAATAGATTAGTAGTGATAGATTAGCAGTGATAGATTAGCAGCAATAGATAGATTAGCAGTGATAGATAAATTGACAGTAATAGATAGATTGATAGTAATAGATAGATTGACAGCAATAGATAGATTGACAGTGGTATAGATTAACAGTAATAGATAGAGAATCTTATAGTAAGTCATCAGAGTATTGAGTACTAAGTAAAATAGAGATAATATCTTCATCAATTATATTATCAAATTGATGTATTATATAATCATCAGAATGGGATCAAATTTGAGTCAAAATTATAATCAGTCTCAGATTATGTTTTTATTTTAATAGTTAGTCACTTTACATAAAATATCAAGATTTCTTAGTCTCATTTCACTTATATTTTGATAATTCTAGTTATTTTATATTTTCATTCTAAATTTAATCTCACTAAAATCATATCAAGAAATGAACTGAGATCAAATTAAATTAAATTAAATATGAAATTCATGATCTCAGCAGTCAGTCTATTATCAGACAAGGTTTTTTTATATAATAATAGTAAAATAAATGTCATTTAGAGGTTCTAGAGAATCATATACAGTGGTATTCAAAGATTAAAAGATTTTTGTATAAAGAAGCTCATTTTTCTTGTTTCAAAGCTTTATATTCAGAGACACTGTGATAGAAGACAGTATTTCTTTTTTAATAAAAATATTTTTTACTTGAATAAGATGAGTATCTGTCAGAATAGAGCTTTTCTATTTTAAATAGTTGTTAGATTCAGTGAAAACAATTGTATATCTTCTTTTCAATTTGACTTTAGCATTTTTGCAAAATTTATCAATCTCATTTTTAATAGAGTTCTCAGTAGTAGATGATAGAGATATATAATAAATATATCATCAATTAAACAGATATTACTATTGTTGCAGATTAAACTGTTTATATTATTTATATAGTTTGTATAATCTGTTTCAATAATACTATCTATAGACTTAACACTATTCTAATAACAGTTTATAAATCAATTAAAAAAAAAAGAGAAAGAAAATTAGAAAAAAGAATTATATAAAAGAATTTTTATAAAAGAAGAATCTAGACTGACTGATGAGATCATGAATTTCATATTTGATTTGATTTAATTTGATTTCAGTTCATTTCTTGACATTATTTTAATAAGATCAGAATCAGAATGAGAGTGTAAAGTGACTAGAATTATCAAAATATAAGTGAAATGAAACTAATAAATCTTAATATTTCATATAAAGTGACTGACTATCAAAAACAAGAACATGATCTGAGACTGATCATGATTTTGACTCAAGTTTGATCCCATTCTGATGATTATATAATACATCAATCTGATGATATGATTGGTGGAGATATTACCTCTATCTTGCTTAGTGCTCAATGCCCTGATGGCTCACTATTAGATCCTCTATCTACCACTGCCAACCTATCTACCACTGCTAATCTATGCCGCTGCCAACCTATCTATCGCTGCTAATCTATCGCTGCTGCCAACCTACCTACCGCTGCCAACCTACCTATCGCTGCCAACCTATCTACCACTGCTAATCTATGCCGCTGCCAACCTACCTACCGCTGCCAACCTACCTATTGCTGCCAACCTACCTACCACTGCTAATCTATCGCTGCTAATCTATCACTGCTAATCTATCGCTGCTAATCTATCGCTGCCAACCTATCTACTGCTGCCAACCTATCTATTGCTGCCAACCTACCTACCACTGCTAATCTATCGCTGCTAATCTATCACTGCTAATCTATCGCTGCTAATCTATTGCTGCCAACCTATCTACTGCTGCCAACCTACCTATCGCTGCCAACCTACCTACCACTGCTAATCTATCGCTGCTAATCTATCACTGCTAATCTATCGCTGCTAATCTATCGCTGCCAATCTACCTACTGCTGTCAACCTACCTATCGCTGCCAACCTACCTACCACTGCTAATCTATTGCTGCTAATCTATCACTGCTAATCTATCGCTGCTAATCTATCACTGCCAACCTATCTACTGCTGCCAACCTACCTACCACTGCCAACCTACCTACCACTGCTAATCTATCACTGCTGCCAATCTATATAGAGTAAATCATGATCCCATTTGATCCCATTTTGTAAAATGGGATCAAATGGGACCAGAATCACTAATTTATTAGTAAAACATGATCTAGAACTAGATTTTTAATAT